GCAGCCGCGAACCTTGATCCATAGCAAGGAAAAATCGAAGAATCGAAACGCGAAACGAGCACTCGGCTGGACCGGTTCTTCAGTTGCCACTCGGTCACGCTCTGACTCAGATTCGCGTAATTTTTCAACGGACGATATGAAGCCTCGCGTCGATCAGTAAATTTTCCGTGATCTATCTTCGGGCAATTTTTTGGCCAAATACACATCAGAATATATTCTTGTGACGTTGCTGGAGATATTTTTGAAGCTGAAGAGATTGAAGCTAAAGATTCGGTGAATAAATTCTTATTCGAGAGAAGAAGGAGCATCTGAAGGAAAGACTGAAAAACTTGAAGAAGCAACATGAAGACTATTTGTTGGTTTCTCGTGGTCCTCCTGGCTCGACAGGTGAGATAAAACGACATTGCTGGTATTATTTTCGGTGAAAAGTTCCTGGAGGAAGAAACAGTGTCTCGAAATTTTGCCAGGAAAGACAGAGATATAATTCTCTGTTCCAGATTATTAGTACACTTAAACTATTGGCCAGTTACCTTTCCAATTGTACCACATTGAATGCTTATCTCGGCTATTTTTTTATTATAAATTTGCTATTTCACTAACAAAGTTTTATAATGTAAAATACTAAATGAAGGATAGCTCGTTAAAATTTCCCAACAAATAAATTCCGATCGGATTGTTAAAATTTATCTATCTATTGAGAGTTAATATTTATATTTATTGTTAATATTTTACAATTTGAACTCTAGAGATTTTATCGTGCAAGATCAGTCAAACAATTTCACTGTTTGTTAAAAAGAAAATCTAATATTTCGGAAGATAATCAAAAAAAAAAAAAAAAAAAAGAAAGAAAGAAAGAAAAAGAGAGATAACGAGAAAGCAATCGGAGTTCGTTTCAATCGACTCGCAGTTGGCAAATTGGCGGAACTAACGTGAAACATTGACGTTCTCGTTAAATTCTCGTTTACTTCACTTTCCGTGCTGATCGAACGACCTCGCCATTTTCCTCCCTCCCCCCTCCAAAAAAAAAAGCTGGCAGTTCAACGACTAGAGTAAGTAAGAAAGAAAGTTATTTACTCACAGGCGGATAAAAGGTCGAGTTCCAATTAACTGTCGGAGAAGTTTTAACAGAGTTTCAGCCGCACCTGGTGTCATTTCGTCGCCTCCCGAGCAACGTGGCCGTGGAAATTTCCCCGTCATCCTCCTCTCTTAATTATTCTTCAAAGTAACGCCAAGCAACTGCGGAGTCGTTCGTTCCCAGATATCGCTTCGAATACGTTTCCCCACGAATCGCTGCAAATTTCTGCAACCATTTGTAGCGTATTTGCAGGTTCCAGATTATTTTCCACTGTCCCTCGACTATTTACACTTGCCACTTTGTGAATTAAATGAAAAGTATGGATATTTATTTAAAATTTAAAAGTGTAGAGATATTAAATGTAATATAGAAATATTAGAAATATTAGACATGAAAGTCTCGAGGTTGACAAATAATAGAAAAAAAAAATTGTAAAATATAAAGGTAGATGTAATATATTAGATGTAATATATGAAAATATCAAACATAAAATATAGAAGTAGTGAAGTTGATGAATAATAGAAAAAAATGTAATTTGTTCCTTACAATTAAATTAAATTAATAACAGTTACGATGATGATTCAATGGACTTGCTTATAGATTTGCAGAAAATTTCGAGATATAATGTAAAAATATTAAATATATTAAAAGTAGTAAATAAAGCACTGCCTTTCTCTTATAATTAAATTGTGTGTGGATATTGATGGATTTGCAGAAAAATATTGCAATTAGTGCAACTAAAAAAAAAAAAAGAACTTTATATCTTTTATTCACTCTTGCCACTATACTGTTCTACATCACAATTAAATTGAGTGGATTCACGGAAAATATAATGGTGAGAATGGCGAATATTCGAAGTAAAAACGTAAACAGACAAATTATCAGTTTCTTGATCAAATGCTTTAAATTATAATCGGTCGTTTTAGGCTGTTGGCGGAATCCTTAGGAATCCACCAGCCTTCTCGAAGCCAGTTTACGCGGATTCCTATCTTCCGGCAGCCATGCAGGTGAGCATCATTACACCAAATAGCGTTACTTAATCAATATTTATATTAAATATATATTAAATATTAATATTATATATTATATTAATATATATAATATATTATAT